GGCCTGTTCGTTCTTCTGTGAAGGTTTGGAGTTAAACGTGTACGGCTAGCATATCCAGACTCCAGAATCCGGCAGTGCTTGCCACAATCGTGGCTCTCACAGTTCTCTGGGCTTGCGCTGCTGCTCCGCCACTTTGGCGAACATCCTGGGCAGAACCAGGGCTTTCCGAGCCGTGCATCGTTCTTGATGGCTGGGTTTCGCGCTGAGGACTTAGGGTACAGGGTTCACAAAGACAGAGTCTGCAAGGCCTCAAGAGTATCATAGTAGCAAAAGGGCTAGCAGTGATCGCAGTAGTTGTGCCAAGAACGTTAGTTCCAGAAATGAAGCATAATTGTCGGAGAAGCGATGCTTGGGGAAGTTCATCGATTTCGTCGCAATCGTTGTAATGGCCATCATAAAAGCATTAGGGCATTAGGGGTAGCTATTTCGATAGGGAGCTTGATATTATCAAAACTGGCCATAGTGATGATGACGGGAAGATTGATCCTAAAACCGTCATTATGGCATAGCGGTGTCATTGGTCATGGTAAAAAACTGCTGGCGATAACCAGCAACACAACACTGGCCTTGAGCGATGGCAATCACGGACATGTTGATGTTGAAACATCAAAAACGGAGGGCTTCACGGGTTGAATTACTCGTTTCAAGTTTTGGGCAAGTCCAAAACCCCTCAACCTTCTGACACATCCGTCGTAAGCCTTCAAGCCCTCACTAGTTGCAAACCTTACGTAAGTTTTCCAGAGCCCTCCACGCGCTCAAGAAATTTGCGAAATTCAGAACTTTCGAGATTTTCTGAGAGATGCCAGGGCATTCCAAACCCATTTTGCAACTTTAGCTTGTGTTTCAAAGAGATGCTGAAGCTGACAGCATCCTGCTGAGAGGCCATGAGGCCGTGAGGCTTCCCCTCAGCAGGACGACGACGGTAACGGCCAAAAAGTCGATGTAGAAATGATGGGCACGCACGCATAGACTGTGCAGATGCAGGGTGTAGCGATAGAAGGAGGAGTAGCTGAAGGACGAGACATCATGGCCATCTGTTGTAAGAGTCACAGTCCTGGGAAACGTAGGTTACTCTACGAGGAGAACTGTGTAACTGCAACGCGACACGCTGGCGGAGTGTCTTACTGCACCTAGAATACTAAGCTTTGCAAACTCTGATTCTTTCTCCTTTGCTACGTTGCATAGCCTGGAACGCTTGTGCCACCAAGCATCCGAATCCCTTCAACCGAGTCCCAAGCCCTAAATGCAAATCCCTGAATTCAACTCCCGAAACCCAATACCAACAAAAACAGAACTCCGACCCCAAACCCAGCCCCAACATTGTACACCCTGCCCCCGGGCGCCTTGTTTCAATTTGCAGGACCCTAGAGAGCTCGAGGCCCCAAATCTGAGACCCTAACCTGCGAATCTCTCCTAAATCCGAGAATCTCATATTCTTTCATCGGGTCAACTTCGTAACACGCACCGAGCCCAAACCCCCAGTCTCTGGCCTTTCCCGTGCACAACGGGCCCCGGACTCCAGCGCCCTGGAGGTGGGACAAGCATTGGACCTTTCAAGTCTCGAGGCCTCTGCTTTAATTAGGGCATGTGATTCTTCTGGGATCCTAAACCCCTGACGCCAAAGTTTGTTCTTGGAGCCTTTTTTTGAGGCTGACGGGTTTGATGTTGGCCATGCAGGTCTTCGGGGATTTGCATGGCAGTGTCTCCTGAACGTATGTTTTCGGTCAGCCCCTCTTCTGTCAGACCTTCGTGTCTGAAGGCACTTTCCTGCAGCATGGGCTGCGGGGGGGGGGGGCATGCTTTCTTGGGCACGGGTCGACTCCTGTTGCGTCTCGTCTGCATACAAACTTGGGAGCTCCTCCCAGCCAAACCCTTGGAAAACTCGATTCATACCGAATCACAAAGAGCCGTGTCTAGAGCCCGTAGACGGTTTAAGCCCCTGAAACTCTCAACCTCAATCCCTAACTTCAAAAAGGTCAAAAGCCCTGGGAGGCGGGCCTGGGCCTGCGCTAAATCCCAAGGATGGCTTGCTGATCCAAGGTCTTTGAAGAAACTCCAAGA